TTTACGTAATATGGTAATTTGTTATCTGTGCCTCATTTGCCTTTCGTTTGCTTCGCCCCCTTCCTTACTTGGGGCAGGTGCCCCCCCCCCCATTATTTACGGCCGTCTGTATATTCGATAATTACCCAAATTGTAAATAGGCTTTGTGCAGCAAAGTTCAAGACTTCTGAGAAAGTCATGCGTATGGTTTTCTAACTTTTCAAGGCAACGAACTCCTTCTCAACATGCAGCCATCATAAAGCTTGGAAAGCATTGGTGAGCTGCATCTCCAAGAAATGCCCTTATTTGTAAGTTTCTTTTCTTAAGGTTCTCTTTAAAGGGATTAAGACCACCTTCTCGTCCATATGCAGGACTCACTGATCCCCTACTTTGGCTACTTTGGCTTCCACCTCCCTCCCAGCAAACAATTTGAAGCACACAACGTCGAGTCAATGTTGAATCAACATTTAATAAACTTTCGAAACGTTGATATAACATTGGTCCAACATAGCCTAGTTTGCTGGGCTCCCGTCACCAAAATAGATGAGACACATCCTCATCCCTCTTTTCTGGCTGTTTTCTGAGTAATTCCCTTCGCGAATGACAAAACCACCAATGTTCAGACAGTTAAGCTGGCCGAGCCTCATCATTTGCTCGTCCCATCTCAACGGTACAAGCTAGAAGCTTAATTTTTTTGCTTCTGGAAGCACAACACTAGGAGGTCTGAGTGCTGTAAAGATGTTGTCCTTCCTACCCTTATGACTACCGATATTGCCTGTAATGTGGATGTCCGAACTTAGATGCGGAAAAAATTAAGTTCGGACACTTTCACCTTAGTTCTTAGTGCTAGTTCTGACACCCCCGTTTTAAAGTCTCAAAGAGGCTTGATTCATTTCGACGTGAAGGAATGATAACCCGCTCGCAAAGTATTGGACCTTTCCTCTATATTCTAGTATAGGATGATCGTGATTGAGTGAGCGACTGACTTTAATTCTAACCATGTTTTAGATGAGATTGAAAGTTCGAACTTGGTAGGTCTACACGAATAACTCTGATGGTGCGGCTTTTAGGTGCTTGTATTTGGGAGAGACGTATCTCCATAAATTTCTTTGCTCCAAGGAAACGGAGAGGCAGAAGCTGAAACTTGATGCATTGGTACCTATTGAGGTGCAGATTTCTGGGGTAAAAGCTACTTTTAGAATTCGTTCCCAGGGGCATATTTTTGGGGTGGACCATTCCAAAAAAGAATTATTTCGCTCCAGGGAATCATCATAGAGACGAAAGGCTGAAACCTTACTTATTAGGTACAAACCTAAGGGAATACCATGCTGGTATGCATTCATAAGGGGAAATCCTGCTTCTGGGAGATATCTGGGGGTACATTTCGGGGGAGTCATATTTTTAAATATGTTTTGCTACATTGAATTGAAGGATATAGAAACCTGGAATTTCGTACGTAGGTTGTTCTCCAGTCGCTAATTTCTGAAAAAAAAATCCTGCTCTTACCCCTTGGGTGCCCATTATTCATTAGGGTCATGTTGTCGGAAATTATTTTTAAGCAGAACGGACTGGCACAGTTCGTTATAGTTGTTATATTCAGTAGACAAGTACTTCTCTGCATGCTTAATTCAGAAAACATCCAACTTGAGGGACACATCCCCGCTCCGAATTTTTGAGGTACAACTCCTAGAAGAAAATGTATCCAGCAGACGTGTCTATTGTAAGCAATGTTGGCCTTCCGCAAGGACATCTCACCCGAATTAAAGCCTTGATGGCCTTTTCAACACCCTCGGATTGATAATCCCTTGCATTCGAAACTCCTACCACTTCTTTGGAGGCACGCCGCACACTTGGGTGTGCGATTAAATAGGTGAAGCTGTATTTTTTCATATGTGCTCGTCGGTGTCTGAAGTTACATGTCCCGTTATGATAGCTCGGACAGAGCTCAAAAATACATGTTCTCTGAAAAGCATGACTCAACTGAGCTTTTGTCAACTCTAAACGTTCTTTATCTCAAGAGGACATCATATTTCCGCAGATATGACACATGAATATATGTCCGAACTTAAGTTTCTGAAAAATTTCTTGACCTAAGTTCGGATACACCGATAGTAAGACAATAATCTGATCCATGCACGTATATTCTGCGTAACAGGACTCCATGTCTCTCCTAGTTTCCTGGAAAGTAAGAATTGAGCACAGAAAAAAAAGTCACGTGTGAAACGTTTTAAAAGTAAGGTTATCTCCTTACGGTTTCTTGAAAAATTCCTCCTGTTCGCGATATAGCATTAGCCTAAGCCCACATCTTGGAATCGTGCTAAGTCATGATGACCACCGCTTTTCCTTCGTTCAGTAACGTGTTCATCTCATGTTAGGAAGAACCATTTCTGAAGGCAGCTCCGCGAATGCTTAGTTTTGTAACAATATTTGCAGCAGTGTCCGAACTTAGGTAATGACCGAACTTAGGTGGTTTTACCCTATCGTGTTCATTCCTGCTCAGCGCCAGCATCGGGGAGCGAAGATGTAAAATTGTGGAGTCTTTCTCTGCCCATCTAATTTGAAGATTTACTATAGAAGTAGCGCGAGGCAAGGTTCACAACAAACAAACAAAAACAGGCCACAAGAGGAAAGCCTTTATTTGGATATAATCAGCATGTTGGTTCTGCCATAAAGGTTATTATTTTCTCTAATTGCTATCATTTTCGTGTAATTCCTAAAAACAATCATTGCAACATGGGATCCCCAAGCATATTTACTCCACACACATGAATATAGACATTCTCGTAATGAGATAAGAAATATGATATGATTGAGATCTAGCATGAATAATTGCTGGTTAAGCACTAAACTGGGCGGACGCCCATTTCTGCTTATGCACACTGAGTCGTATTGCTCGATCTTACATGCATACATTAGAGAAGACAGAATCAGTATCTCCCAGGTTTATCGTTGGCACGATCGGGTGTCATGCTGCATAAATACGCCCGGAATGAACTTTTCCCAAGTACTGGGTCAATTAGTCATCTTGTAAAAATCGACTCACTGTCCACGAATGTCCCCTTCTTTGCTTTTCGTCCTAGAGTTTCATTATGGCGCAAATTGAAGCTGAGGGAAGGGGAGATCTTGCTATGCAGGTAAATTTCTTCTTTTTTAAATATCGATTAGGTTTGCTATCATGCATGTTAATCCCTTAAGTGTTGGATGCTCTTCCGCGAAACTGCACCCTTTCTGCTGAATACTCTTTGGGAAAATGCAGCTTACTGAAATGTACGGGAAAAAAACGAATATTACAGAGTTTAATGAGATGTTGTTCTTATTGACATTACCTCACGCTCGGAGAATGTATCTGCGAGACTCTCTTGCGTAGTACACATTCGCATTTGACGTAAGGAGGAGGCAAATTTTCCACAGTGCACTGACCCCGGCACACTGATCTAATATATGTAATTCTTACAGCTGAGCAGCGGGATATTCAAGCTGTTGGGTATAGTTATATCGGTAGACAAGAGGTGTAAGCACCATACTGCCTAGCCAGAATCCTGTCGCGTTTACATGACAGGAGCACGGGACTGCTGACATTTTAAGACGCATATACGCGACCATAGCACTGGGAGGCTTAAACTGTCTGAACGCATATATGCAACCATAGCACTTAAAATGTTAATTATAAATTCAACACGTATCTATATTTATTGAGTTTCTTGGCAAAACATGGTTTTCCCTGCCTTTAGCTTTAATTTGAGCCATAAAATAACTCATTCGGACAAAAAGTAAGTAAGTTACCTTCTGAGCACTGGGGCCTTATGGCCCCAGGATAGAACATCAAACCCTCCATCTCGACCACTGTTTGATTTATAGGTTGATATATAGGCTTAGTAATTTGTCTGCTGGATCTTCCAAGAGACCCCCCCCCCCCCCCCATGCTGAATTGAATTGAATGTGGTCGAGCGCGAAGCTTCCCAGATTTAGTCACATTTGAGGTTGGACCATCAATATTCAATAAGCTAAGCGATTTAAAAGGCATAAACGCCTTCTTCATTCTTATACCATTGAAAAGTAATCAAAAAGCACTTTCAGGTAGTTTAAAGAACAATATTCTGTCATGTTCCTCATACGGTTAAAACATGACCAAAGACCATGAAAAAGACCAATTTTCCAATATGGAAGATTAAAAAAATTGTGTGGGGATGGTAACATCTCAGAATCACATCGCACATTAGTTACGTGATGTATGAACTCATTTCGCCTCAAATTTGACACAGGTGGCATGATTTCTACTATAAGAATCATGGGGTTGAAAATATGATATATCGTATATCATATTTGGAAGAAAACTTTAGAAGTTAAAGATTAGTGTGAGTTTGTCCGTTCGCAGATGTTGATTCCCTAGTCATTCATATTTAATGCTGCCTATGGGCAAAAAGGAAGGAAGCTAACAAATGAGGAATGGAGGTCGACATTACGACGTGGTCAAATGTCGAATTCCATATCTTAGCTTCTATTCCATGAAGAAACATAACGTTTTGACTGTATGTTATTCTCACCATAGTACCTCTGCAAACCGAATTTAATTAAATCATGACATTCCCCAGCAGAAAACAACTCAAATTTTGGCACACTGCGGTTCAACTACACATTCGGGGAGTGCATGCTCTAATGTTTAGGAGCTTGGGTTTGCTTGACACTGAGCTTGTTAACATTGACATTGACATTGTAAAATCCTATGACGATTTTCTACTTTTCTGAATATTTGAATGCTTACAGTGCTATGCCATTTGCATCAAAACAAATCTGCCCATCAATTATATAGCTTTTTCCCACATATCCAACCATCGCTCTGGCATGTGTCTTTCATACGCTCATCTTTACTTTTGCGCTTTTCAAAGATCCCTAATGGAACATGCTCACCAAAAGCCATCACCAGGAACACCCAAAGGAACCAAAGTATAAGTAGAATTGACAGCAGAAGAGAACTAAGAGGGCGTGAAAGATTGCCTCTTCCGCCATCTAATGTACATGACCAGGTAGGCGAGTGACAGGACAACTGCGATCGAAGCTGCTATGATCCCAATAACAAATCCCACTGAAATCGACCCAATCGATGGCATCCTGGTTAACAGAAACTCCATTGAGTGCTCCAGTGTTCCGTTATTTGGTCGAGGTTGGATTCCCAAGAGGTGACAGATCAATGGGTAGACATCCACGCTGTCAACAACAGCACCCTTGGGGGTCTCGTAGCCCTTCTTGAATGCTGGGCCATGGGCAATGAAGTAGGCCTGCATCTCAGGAAAAGAATTGTTGTATCCATGGACTCCATATTCCTCGTTCCTCTCGTCTGTTCACGGGTGACATATTCTCAATATTATATAGTTAAAATAAAATAAATTCTCTGAGTCACCAGGGGAATATACCTTCGGGAACTCGCAGCCACCAGGCATCACTGAAGGCATACCCAAGGTCTGTAACGATGTAAAATGGTGGCATATAGGGTGTGGGTCCATAATGCCAGTCTGGAGGACTGTTCACCGTCTCATATACCGAGAATGGTTGTGTCTTGGATGCATTGAGGAATCCTTGGTACACTTCCTCCTCTTTCCCTGTGATGTGGGTGCAACATTTTTTTTTTTCTGAAAGAGTGAGAGAGAGAGAAAGGGTGGAAGCTGACATACCTGGCAGTGGATAGATGAGGAGTGTGGGTGAGCTGCTGCTATAATTGTAAGTGTCAGGAGAGACAGGGATGGATCGTAAGTCAACGATGGCATCCTTTTTAACCTTCATCATCCCATGATCAGAAAGGAAGATTAGATTCGTCCTCTCCCAGAGGCCTAGGATCTTGAGTCGAGACACAAGGTATCCCACTAATGTGTCCACCTCCTCCACTTTAGATTTCACCTGTGGAGAATCAGGTCCGTACTTGTGTCCTGTGGAATCAGGTTCTTGCAGGTAGAACATGACGAGATTGGCAGGTTTTTGAGGATGGGAGAACCAGGATAGGGCGACATCCACTCTCTCCTCCCATGGTACACTTGAATTGTATGACTTGAAATGTGTCGGAACACTTTTATTTGGACCCCAGTGGAAATCCACTCCAGGCCACATGCTCACTCCTGAATATTTTCTTTCCTCAGCCTCTTCATTCGTCACCTGTTTCATTAAGTGGATAAATATGACTAATATTAGTATCAATTCCAGAACTCTGAACTTAAAAAAATGAAAGTTACGATAATTCATTTCAAACTTAGTTTTGGAAGAAGAAAACCTTCTTTCTGGTTTTATTTTATTCGTTTTTCTTTAGAGCTTATCAGTCTCAAGATCAATTTCCTTTCTTTTTTCCTTTGGCACTTGCCTTTTCCAATTCTATGAATTTGGTATAGGCTTATTGAACAGTCACCCTGAAACTGGAATGCTGGTGAATATCTTGTGCTGGTGACAAGGTCGGACTGGCCCAACAGGATACCGGGAAATTTCCCGCCCCCTTTTTTGGAGGGGGGGGGGTGTGCGGGGGCCCTTGTCAGCAATATCCCGGAGGGCCCATAGGCCCGTTTCATAGAATTTACAAGTTCTACAAGTTACAAGTAATTACAAGGGTCGTGTCGTCGTTGTGTTAAGGGCCAGCGGGACCAGCTGGAAGAATTAAACAAGAAGACACGACCGTTACAAGTACCTGTAACTTGTAAGTTCCATGAAACGGCCCCAGTCCAACCCTGGCTGGAGGAGGTAATGTAATCACTCAAAGAATATACGTTCACATTCTAAAATATAATTTCTCAGCATCCTTTTGCGGCCGAAATGAACTACATAATGGACATAGATTACATTAATTAGCCAAACTCACTTCTTTAATAAGAAGATTTGGCTTTTTGTCCTTGGTCTAATTGGAAAGATGGCTTTCTTCTCGTCTGTAGTTCCCAGAAAGCCTAACAGGCAATACAATAGGCATTTCAGCATATTTTCAGAACCAAAATATATCGGTTCATCAGAAATTGAAAGTGATTGCGGTGAGGAAGCCCCTCTGTCACAATAACCTGTTCTAAATGTATGCCTATGATTACGCATAAGTCATGCTAACCAATTCTAAATTAATCCGGAAAAGGTCTCTATGAATGGACAGGGAGATGGAAAGGTTACAGTATATAAGAAATGCATTCAAAAAGTAATGAACTCTGAGGCACAGATTATTCATTTTTCGATAAGCAGAATTGTCATACTGAGTACGTAAATAGATAAAACTACTTGGATTATTAACGATTTTGAGCCGTTCCGTGTTTTAAATTTACAGAGCTGTGCGTTTCACACGGGACCATTTTTTGAATCATTCTTTTGACTTTAATTCGACGGACGGACACCGACTGATGGCATGATGACCACGTCTACCATATTGCTGTAAACACAGCTCCTTCCTTCGACATCATTGACAATACTTATTCAGAGGTTCAGCTCAATTCCCAAGTTTTCATTCATCAGGACTGAACGAGATCTGCCAGAACGCCGAATTTGGGCTTTGACAACTCTACCCATGTCCCAAAACTTCAGAATCAACTGAAAGGCCTTTGCAAGAGAATGTTTATGGAGTCAGTCATGGGAAACGGTGGAAACAGCTATATTGATTGGTCTGTCGTTTCCACCTTCATAACTTCTGAAATAATGTTCGCCAAGTCAAATCCTTTTTTCACTATTCACTGGTTCATATGAATTCTAGATTACCTCCCAGTTTAAAATTCCGACTGGAATTTTCCAGCTGGATTGAATCTGGTTTTGTTAGCTGGTTCCAGCTGGACTCCAACAGTAAATTCGGACCGATTCCAGCTGGGAGGTAGAGCAAAAATCCGGCTGGATCTAGGCTGGTTCCCAACTGGAATTTTCCAGATGGACTGAAGCTAGTTGTCTTTGTCGTTTCCGGCTGGATCCTAGATGGTTCCCAGCTGGATTGACGCTGGTTGTGCTTGTCGTTTCCGGCTGGATTCTAGATGGTTCCCAGCTGGATTGAAGCTGGTTGTGCTTGTCGTTTCCAGCTGGATCCCAACTGTATATTCAGACTGATTCCGACTGAGAAGCAGATGAAAATTCAGACCAAATTTAGCTTTATAAAGAACACCAAGAGTGTATCA